AAATACTATTAAAAATGTTTTTTAGATAATAAGCACATTTTATTTCATGGGAAAAGATTTAGATAATACATGATATCTATGTGCTTATCTAGATTTAGATAATATATGATATCAAGGTGCATCTACATTATTTCCTGAAAACAGACAGGCTGATGGTATACAGATTTCATATTTTCCAATGTCTTGGTTTTAATAAATAGTGTTTTTAAAAGCATTTTAACAATACACATATTTATTTTATTTTATTAAAGTATATGAACAATATCTGTTAGATTGATATTTTTTTCCATTCAGAACTTTACTAGAAATATTTCTTCCTTGTAATAATGCATTATACTAATCATATGCATAAAAATTCTACACATCTTGTAAAAATTCAAACAAAATGTATAGCATATAATTTATCCCTAGATATCTTCTCATAACCTTTCAAAAATTTGGAGCAATCGAGGGGCCAATGAGACTACATAGTCTCTACTTTGAAATCCATACCGTAAATAAAATACACTATGGTGGAAAATTAAAAAAAAGAAGAAGAAAAATGAGAAGGAAAAAAAAAATATATACTTCTCTGCAAGTAGCAATCTAAAATTTTAAAAAACTGCAGTTTTTTCAGTAAAAAAAATAATGAACTTTAAGACCTTATTCAACTGGTATATGGAAAAAATTAGTACTTTTCCATTATACCCCATGTAAATAATGGATAAACATTGTAACTCATTAGTTTGTGGCAATAACATCGATAATAACAATCAATAAACATCGTAATTCATTATTTTGTGGTGACCATCTTTTTCTTTAGACAGCTTTTGAAATTCCTCGTTGTAAAGATGCTTCTGTTTGATTTCTCAAATAATGAAGCAGATTCTATACATTTTCAACAATGTGGAATTATCCCTTCAGAACGAAAATGTTCCAATCTGCACAGTATGATTTTATCTATCGAAGAAAACAGGGTAAGGTGGCGATGTCACAAGCGCAAGAGAGAAATTGGAATCAGGAAGGGAAATTGGTTCGAGAATTCTCCTCCCCCTTTGAAACGGCCATAAGATTTATTTATTTATGGTCGACAGAATTGACATCCATCGAGAAAAAGAATGCCTGATAAGGCACATACTGTTTTCGATGGGAACAATTATCTTAGATAAATTTGTACCGAAGACGCTTTAGGCCAGGAACGGACAAAGATAAGAAGACCAGGCCAAATCGTTGAAATAGACGAACGTCTATTCACCGAGAGGAAAAATAATGCTGCACGTATTTTCCCACCATAATAGGTTTTTGCTGGAATTTGGCAAAATACAAAGGATGCATTATATATTAATTGTTGCCATTCTGAACAGAGGCCCACAGTGTCTGCTAAAATGCATCGAAGAAATTATAAATGAACACGGAGTATATCATCTACTCCGACAGTTGGAGAGCCTATAAAATTGACGAACTCGAAAGAGCAGGCATTTTTCATTTCAAAGTGAATCATATGTTTAAGTTCATGGATCCAGAAACCGGTGTTCATATGCAGGCGGTAGAGCACTTATGGGAGTCCGACAAAATGAGAAACAAGCAACATTGCAGTACTGCCAGAAAACATCATATTTGGCAGAATTCGTGTGAGAAAAAAAGAGAAAGTGAATGGAAAAGATTCATTCGACTTGATTATCAAAGCAATAGCTAAGCAACTTGTTTCAATAATTTTTGTCAATAAATGATAAGTATTTAGTTTATAAAATGTATAGTTTCTGACAACAGTAATTACAATTTTTGCCTTTCCCGTTACGACAATTATCCTATAGAGGCATAATGGAAAAGTACCAAAAATTTTCAGACAAATTTTAAAATATATGAAACAGATAATATCGAACACCTAAGAAAACTTTGGACAAAAAATGGTTACATGTGTTGCCATTTTCTCATTTTTGCTCTGTCAGAGAAAATTAACGTTTTTTTTCCCCTATTTCTTGGCTTATCCACATGATTACTATATTTCCACAAAAACAGTAGCACATCAATTCAGAACAATTATAAGAACTTTGTCTTTACTTTTGTCAATTTGTTTCTTTATCAAAAAGGTACACCATAATATATGGCTATAAGAAAAAAATTATACAACCATCATATCTGATTACTACATAAAAACAAGAGTGAAAAATGAAAAAATATCCAGATATATATATCTGAAATAAAATCCAGATTTTATTTCATGTCAGAGTAGAATTATGATTCAGTTAACAATCATTTGCTGAATAATGACAAATATGCAACATGTTTTTAGGAATTATATCAATCAAATTAATGGTTTTGTATGAAAGGAAAACCATTTAATATCAGAAAAATAAAATTTTGTCTTACAATAGCCTACTCCATTTCAAAAGCATATGTCAAATTCAACTCTCAAACTTGTAAATGTATTTTGATTCATTAGTGCCCATCACTAGCACCATTTTGACCTACTAGAGGCCGAGTAAATGAGATCACTGAACACTGATAATTCAACCCAGGTTCAAATTCTAACAAATGGCCATTCTTATAGTCTTTCCTACATGTCAGATGTATGAACCAGTTTATACAGAGTTTATATAAGAAAGCTTTCTGAAAAGCACTTCTTCCTTTAGGCATACAGATAGCCCTTGGGTGCTTTGCTATAACGGATTCAACAGTTTAGTTTATTTACCTGCAACTGTTTCTAAAAACTAAAAAAAAAAAAAAAAAAAAAAAAAAAAAAAAAAAAAAAAAAAAAAAAAAAAAAAAAAAAAAAACTTCGTTTCTTGAAAAAAAAAAAAGGGGGAGGCATACATTTTTCAATTTTTGTAAAACTGTCTCTCATGCTACAACGCATGAAAACTGAAAATTTATATATATATATATATATATTATATCTGTAGTGAAAACAAATTTATATGTAGAATATATATTGTAGAAACAGTTGATGATATACACAGAAAAATATGCCATATCATAATGAAAAAAGACTTTGCAATATTGGTGGCATATAGAATATAGAGTGCTGAATCCATAATGAAAATTATACTTGGCAGTCAAGGCATATTAAATATTCATCTTTATTTCGATTGACATTTGCAGCCACAATTCACTCGGCACTTTAATCATGCCTATTCAAGAATATTTACATTTTTGATATCATTGCAATAGGAAGAGAGCAGCAAGACAGTTTCTTGGCGAGAACAAAGGTAGAAACAGAAGTGTGTAGGTATTCCACTATGGCAGCTTACCCAGAGAAAGTTTTTGTTTAAGTTTCAAATTAGTTACATCAAAGTTTAAGTTTTGCATTAGTTACAACATCAGCGTTATTAAGTCATATGTATAAATTTATCTAGAAATTATTTTGATGCACTGTAGATGCTAGGAGATGCATGTAGATGCCCTATAAAAATCTAAAGAGCTGTTGCTAATTCAGTTAGTAATTGATCAGAGATTTATCTTTCTTATTTTGTATTTCACATATAAATGAAATTAATATTAAAATATTAATTTCATATATATATGTAATATATATATCTCATATACATGTAGTTTTTATTCTGATGAAGTTTATTGCCACATACAATATAAACTTTAAATGACTTTTGTGTTTAATAACCACCACATTCTTAGAAAAATTTGTACGGCTTATTTTAAAATATAAATATTTTTCCAATTTTATTTTTAATACTGGCTTAATAAGTACATAAAAATTAATTTTGGACAAAATTTCACTATTTTTAATAATCAATTAATATATGATTAAAATTAATATTCTGCAAAAATAAACTGCAGAATTTCAGTACAAGTACTTCAAAAGAGAAATATCATTCGTATAAAACAATTTAATTTCACCCACATACAAATTAAAAAATATTTACGAATAAAATATAAATTTCAACTTCTTTTTATATGGCAGGCATGCAGCCTTTTTACAGAGTCTTTGAATAAATATTTTGCAGGCTTAAAAAAGCATATGACATCGCACTTTATTTACTGTTTTGAAGTTTTATATCATTCCAAACCCAGTAGGAAGGCTTCACATGGCTTGGTTTAAAATTTAGATTTTGAATGCTAGTTTCATTTGTAATAAAAGTGTACACAGAAAATCCAGACATAATTTCTTGGTTTTAATAAAACATACATGGAAATTAATGCAACTATCAATGAATAGCCAAGAGAGACTAATATAAAACTACACAGAAAATAAATAAGTAAATGCATGCATATAATTTCAATAGATGGTACTTTTCCTTTTCGCTGGCACAAATCTTGCCAAGCAGACTTTATTGGCGGCAACATACAGTATACACATAAAAAATGTGAACAAAAGTTAGTTTTAAGAATTTTTTTTATTTTGGAGGCATAAGCATTTTAATATTGTTTAAAATTTTGTAAAAAGACAATAAATTTGTAAAAAGACATTAATTAAAAAATTTACTATGCTTTCATGGTTAAAGCTGATTCACCAGTTCATATCGCATGACCCCAAGTGATCTCATCTCATGCAAACTATGCTACAAAAATCTAATTCTCTCAGTAATTATCTACATTAATTTCAACTTAAATCTTAATTTGGAATACAAGTTTAAATGCAAGAATTATTTCAATTCGTACGAATAGCTTACTTGGAAATCATGTAAAACTGCAGTGCTTTACTTTGCTAGTGCATTCTCATTAGAATTGATGAAGTTAACCTTTGACTTTGCCTTTTCTATATTTTTCGTCTTCGGGTGAGAGGTGTGATTGCAAAAAAAATTGACTTAAATACTGCGAATGCCTTAGAGCGTAAAATTGTACTATCTGGTGAAAAATCTATGTAATTGTATGCCAGTATTGAAAGAACCAATCAATCTGATAAGAAATGACTGTAACTTGTTTTGAAAATGAGGCTTTAAAGGTTACCAGCGAGGATATTCCATTTGGCATCAGTTATACCATTATTGGCAACTTTATCGCCTGCACCGGCAAAACGGAAAAGTACCCAATAGATATATAACTATCTATAAGTATATACTCACACAACTTTATTTTGTAATTTCAAAACTTTGTCTTTTGTTTGTGCAATATGACTATCTATACGTATCAAAAAGTCAGCTGCACTTTCTTCACGTTCTAAACTTGCAATACCATTGTCACTAATAGTAGTATTTAATTGATTTGATATGCCAATAGTCTGACAGTTTGTTAAACTATCCCCATTTTCAGTATGTTTCACAGGAGACAGCTGAGGTGACTGGGAAGCAGAAGATATGGAAGATACAGTAAACACTTCAGCTTCAGAATCAACAGGAATATTTAATGTTGAGCGCAAGAATAAACTATCTGTGGTCCACATTTTATTTTCTCTTTTTATTTGCTCCATCTATAAAACAAAAATCATACTGACTATGTAACAAAGCTACATAAGCATGCAATAAAACTATATTAAATATGCAACAATTTCAAATAAAATAATAATTGAATTATTTATACAAGACAATAATTATTTTATAAATAAACTTTAATTTGTCATTACCAGCTCTGACTTAGTAAATGCAACTAACTACTCAGAAAGTTTCAAAAATTCAAACAGATCTTATATTTTTACCCTGAAACACAAATTTCTGTTTGTTATATAAACAACAGAAGGTGATTAATATTACAATAGTAATAATTACTATTGTTTAGAAATATTTAAGAAGTTGTTTTATTTTATTTCTTTTTGCAAGCATATGTCCGAGGATGCCCTTGTGGAAGACATTTTAAGGAAAACTAACTCATTAATGTTATACATGCAAAAGACCGTGAAAACCAACCATGCAGTCAGCAGTTCATCAGGATATGTTAATGAGATGAAGCTATAAATCAAAGAAAATTATGCATTATTCTAAATGAAGAGTTCACTTTAATCAAAAAGCATAAAAATTGCGTAGTTTAATAAGAATATGTTTAAACACATTTAAGTTATTGCAATTACAGTCAAAAGTCGTTAATCCGGACTCGTCGGGACTTCGGCGATTCCGGATTATCGATTTTTCCGGATTATAGATCATCAGTTTAAATCTGGTAAGATGGCATGCAGAAAGAAATTATAAAATTAAAAATATGAAACTGTAATTTATGAAATAAAGAACAATTATGATCTAAAGGGTATCAAAATTTACAAAAAAAAAAAAAAAAAAAACTTAATATTTATTTGTTTACTTTATTAAAACATTTCTTTCAATGTAAGTTGTTTAAGTTGCTTCGTTTTCTGTGATAATACTTTCTCTTTAATTCTATAAACAAACATAATTTCTTGTTCGGTTACAAAGTTCCGCTGTTCAAGTCCCGTAATTGCTGTGCCCAGAACACCGACTTACTTGTCAATCGAAATGTTTTCGTTTTCAATAACCGCTGGGTCACTTTCTTCACTATCGGAAGCGAATTATAATCACGAGGAACTTGATTTAAATCATATCAAAGACGGAGTACATCGAGATAAAATACTACACTTAGTAAGGAATTATAAGCCAAATAAAATAAAAACATCTGCCCTGAAGATAAGGATAGTGCTGACAGATCAACTTCCGCGGCGTGAAATTGACAAACAGATTTCGGATTTCAAAACATACTTTCGCTTTGTAGATACAAATTACATATTAGTAAATATATATCGGAAATTCTATTTGACATAATCGAAAGTTCAAGCTTACTTTTATGAAATTGCTCTAACAGTCTGCAAAATAATAAGCCGGATCTAATTCGAAGATTAAGGAACAACGCAATCTGCAACATTAACTGAATTAGATAATTTTTGCTCAGCTTATACCTCCGTTACACATTAAATGCGCATGCGCACAAACATATTAGCAGCCGCAAAGGTCTTACGCGCTCTTGTAAACGCCTGTGCGCATGCGTGAATGCGACGCATGCGCAGAGAGTTTGTAGCTTTGAGGTCCGGATTATAGATCATTCCGGATTATGGGTGTCCGAATTAACGACTTTTGACTGTATATCTTAAACATGCTTCTAAGTGATTATACATATGATATGGAATTACCCCTCTGATCACAGATACAAAATTCATAAAAACACAGAATTCAATTCAAAATCATCAGGTGGAAATGGAAGCACAAACTTGCAAAGAAATAGCAGTTCCCACATTAATACATCACAGAATTTAAGTGCCGATGTGATTCCCTACATACATTGAGATTAAATGATGAACACATTATTTTATGGATCTTTTGGTAAGAGGGTTAATCAATAAAAGAATTTGTTAATGGACTCATCAACAAAAATTGGTGTATTTTAGTTTGCATTCATTATTGACATGGGGGGAACTACTCTTTTATAATATTTTTAAAATATTGTAGAATAACATTATTATATTAAGACTCTTGGGAACTATGTTCTTCTGTCCTAGGATATTGTATGTTAATCGATCTTGGATAATAAAAAAAAAGTGAGACTTCAGTAGCATAATGAAAATTGTTGATAAAAAGCTAAATTCAAATTTTAATAATAAAAAAAAAAAAAAAAAAAAAAAAAAAAAAAAAAAAAAAAAAAAAAAAACTGAATATTCTAATTTAAAAACCTCACAGTTCTAAAAAAATATGGAAAGCAGCATTTTTTAGGAAAACAGCATTTTTGGAAAAAGTTATGAGAGAGTCTGCTTCTATTTACAGTATAAATGAGGAAATAAGAAAACTACTGATGCAGCTGGGAATATTTTATTCATAATCTAATTGCATTTGGATTACTGATGCAGCTGGGAATATTTTATTTATAATCTAATTGCATTTGGATTAACTCACACTGGATTGAACTAGTATTTAATTACTTTTAAATTGTAGCTTAGTTCCATCCAAATTTTCATACTATACAGTAAACTATACGATACTACACAGTATACCATTTTAAGTAGCCTACTTTCCTAAACAGAACTAAATTTTCAATAATTAAGTAGCATACAATCTACTACTTTTAATTATTTATTTTTTAGAGGGCAGTACTAAAGCTATTTCAGAAATATCTTGTATGATGATGTCAGTTGTGCATAATGCAAAGAAGAAAAAGAAACTCATGATCAGAAATACTATATAGATCATATCTGGCAAAGCTGCATATATATTTTCTTGTGAAATGAATTATAAAAATACAGAAGACTTTTTTTGGGGCAGGTGGATAGATTTAATTTAATAAAATTCTATATACTTTTGCCCACCCCTTTAAAAATAAGAAACAACATACTGACGAGCAACCTAAATTTTAACAAATGGCTTGTACTTTTATAAAAGTAAAGTATCAATTCTAATTAAATGTTTTACGATTTAGAAAACAGAAAATGCATATAATTGCGCATGAACACGAAAACATTTTATAGTAATAAGAGAAAATTTTAAAAATCACAAAACATCAAAGAAATTACATAACATAATAAGTAAAATTTAACTATACAGCACAACTTATCCCAAAAGCTGCCATACATTATACTCTTCGTCTTTCATCTCAGTTGAATTTTTAGATGATTCTCATGCGATAATTTTTCAAAGGAGTTTTTTACATAAGATTTAGGATTAAATTATCTTAAGGATTCCTTTTAAAGAGACTGCCACTACATCTGAAATATATTATATAGTCAAAACCTTGTTGCAAAAATATTATTGATCAAGCTACAAACTAGTTTGACTTCAGTGCTACTAACACCAATTAGTCTCTATAATGCAAGTCTTTTTTTACATTATTAGGAATTTTGATATACAATTTCCCTGTTAATAATCTCAACAAAATCTCCAAATAATTTATCTTTATTTCATACTTTAATGCAATATGTAATGTTTGTTAAAACATAATTATGATGCACAAAACATGCATTTCTCATGAAAGAAACAAACAAAAATAATACCACAAAGAAAAAGGGACTCGCAGATTAGAAATAAATTTAAGAAAAAGGTCACATGCCCCTCTACTGCTATCATGTATCAAAAAGCTCACATGCCCCTCTACTGCTCTCATGTATTTTCCTGCAATAAAGTCTTAAAAAACTGTGTTCCATTGTACGAAACTCATGGTACCCTTCTGTTATTGGGGGACTGGATTCAGGAATATACGTATGTATGCAAGTGCGTAAGTATCTATGTGCATATATTTGTGTGTGTGTACACATGCATATGTAATGCACATACTTATATACATGCTTACAATGAACATATACATCTATATATACATGCATACATACATTTCTAAACTCCATCCTGATAACAGAAGAGTACCAAACTGATGAACAGGATTGGCATTAAGCTTTTTTCTGCAGTCTTAAAATTCTGTTACCCTGCATATCCTTAATCATTCAATATTTGGCATTTCCTAAATTCTGCCATACCAGCTCTGATGAACAAAATAATGGACAAATGTGATACATGGCAGTTAAAGTGATACAGCAGAAATTCCATAAATTCGTATTGAACAATTACAAGTGATCTGATCTGAATAATGCGAGTTCAAGACTCATTGCAGAATATTACTTACAACAACTGATATGGAAGCTAGAATGCTGTATCAAATGTGAATTTCATTCTCGTTAATCAAACGGCTAAATGTAAAATGTACACCAAATGAGCATTCCATGTAATAAACTCTGACTAGCCGGCATTTCATGTTATGATGTGCATAATGCATTTTCAGCCATGAGAAAAAAGAAAACATTTTTTATATTCTGCAAACAAAGTATGGATGTATTCCTCTGACCCATAGCTGAAGTGTCAAATCACTGATTGATATGTTCCTGATTATCATAGGAAAACTATTAGATAATGCTCTCGAGATGTGTTGATGTCATACACATCATGTTCTCCAGCAAAGAAGAGTGAGTGAGCTCTCAATCATGTTACTCCTGGGACTTTAGTTAATGGTTCTTATTATGTTGTTTTACTGAAGAACAAGGTACAGTCTGACATCAAAAACAACTTCTATTTTCAGACTAATTAATAATTTCTTTTCAAGAATAACAGCATCTCTTATCCTAATTGTGATGTTCAACAGTTGCAGATATGTCTGCACTTTCACGATTTTGTTAATGTAATTATTTCTTCAATACAAAGTTGAAAAGCCACTGCTGCAATCTGCTCAGTGAAGAAAGACCTGCCATCAAGGACTCATGAGCCAGTAAGAGTACAAGGTGCAACTGACAGACTACCATGATTAGAAAACTATACTGATAGGAAAAGATATTACAATCAATAAAAAATTCATAAAATATGCTTATACATAATGTGCTTAAGGGATCATTCATTTTCAATATAACAGCATAAGAAAAACTTTTAATATTGGTTATGATTATCTGTGCATAATTTACAAGTAAAACTATAGTGTATATATATTTCTTATATAAATGTATGT